GCCCTGACCCCACCCGCCATTTATCTGCTAATGTGACTGTTTTCTTTTTCTCCTGAGGTACCAAGGGACAGTTAGAAGGACATCTGCCTGAGCAGGGGTTAGGGAAGACTTCTTGAGTTATAACTCTTTAATTTTTTTCTCAGACCCACTTAAAATCATGCACCGGCTATGTGTTTAGTGCCCCGGTGACTCCTCCCATCCCTGCCCTCACCATGCCTATCAGAAGGTTCCTTAAAGGCCTTAATTCTCCTGTTCAGTGCAAAGGCCACTTAGTAAAGAGACACTAGGACACGATAAATATTTTCAGAACGCATGAATAAGAGGTCTGTTGGTGTGAGATTTCACTGTGTGAAAAGCCAGGACCCAGATTCCAAAGAGCCAAAGATGACAATCTTTGACTGCCTGCCGCTGTTCTCCTCCCATCAATTAAGCCCTGCAGCACCTCGCTTCCACTCTTTCCCCCTCTCCCTCCTCTCTCTCTCTCATCTATATTGTTCTGTTTCCTCCTCCCCTCCCCTCCCTCCTTTTCAGAGAGTCTTTAGTACCCAGGAGGAGACGGCCCTGAGCCAGGTGCTGAGGGCTGGGCACACCTTCCCACCCACTCTGTTTCTTAGGGTGCTGTTAGTACTCCGACATTGTACAGGGCTCAGTCCTTCCCTGGACCCTCTGGTCACTGCTGTCTTACAGGTACCATTGGTCTGTGGGTCCTTGTGTGACTAAGCCTGAGCAGGACACCCCGAGAGTAAAGGACTAAGGCCTCCCTGGGGCCCCAGCTATGGTCGTGCACTTATTGTCACAGCAGGCCTACTGGCCGCCAAGGCTCTCTCATTCCTACACAATGTGTCTTTTATAAAACTGAACAGTGACAATTCAGGCTTCTCTGGCTTGTTTTCAATCCCAGGAGTCTTATTAGCAGGTCAGGCCCTGGATGGACTACTTCTTTGCTTCCTCAGGACTTCGGATTCAAGCAGACATTTGGTTCTTTGGGTGTCCTGAACTTCAGAGCCTCCTGTAAAATCCAGGATAGTACGGGAAGTCCTTCTGTATATGTGTTGCTTTTATTGGTTAATAAAGAAGCTGCTTTTGGCCAATGGCTTAACAAACTATAGCCAGGATGCAAGAGAATA